GCTGGTTAGCTCAGTTGCTTAGAGCGCAGCCTTGTAACTCCAAGGTCAAGGGTTCGGTTCCTGGTATCTGCCAGCATCCAAAAAAAAGAAAAGAAAACACTAACAGAATACACTTCAAAACCAAGGAGAAATTTTTAAAACTTGTAAAATTAACTAAAAGAAACTTAATTATATAATTATATACATAGATACTTTATATATACATATATAATTACAGTTTTAGTCATATCATATAGAGGAGATATTTTTAGAACAATGAGTTAAATCAATCAAAATTGACACAGAATTAACACACATCCCAAGCTGAAAATCTAAACTGAGTAACAATAGAACGTGGTCAGCAAAAGGAAGATGGATAGAGATGAATATTGAGGGACTGGACTAGCGAGTCAACAGTTGTCAGTGTTTGGGTAACATTGCTCAAGACAGAGGGGCCCCTACCCCAGAGGTGGGATCATCCAATTCCTAGAGGAGATAAAGCCAAGAGAGAGATGGAAACCTTGGGCAGTCCTCACCAGATGGTATTTGTCCACGGACTGACTAAATGTACTCATGATATTCAAGCACTCTCAGCAGTTGTATAAACAATATGAATTGTTTATCGCATATTGGCATTTGTTTTATGCATCTATTTCTTTTGAATTGGATAGCCTAAGTCTTATCTGAGAGACAAACCTGAGATAATGCATGTATATTGACCAGGACTGACTAGACTCTTGTTTGAGTAACCAAATGGTTTCACTTGGCAACATTTTTATGAATACGCTCAACAAATTGCAAAAATATTTTATAGCTAGGCTATAATTTTGGCTTTTCTCATGCATTGCAAACATATAAATAAAATGTAAATATAAAATGATTATGATGATTTTTTTATAATATGCCATAATTTATATAACCAAGTGTGGTCTTCTTCAAAATGGTTGTTTTTATGGATGTTTCATGATATACTTATTACAATTATGCTTACAGTCCTCAAAGCACTTATTTTTCTCTTCATTAAAAACTGTCTTTAAAGTTTGCAATGCATTTTTTGAATAATAATACCTAAACTTAGGTGGCATTTGGCTGTTATGAAAGAAAATTATGATAAAAATTTTTATACTTTAAAGATGAATTTGATTTTCAGATATGGTCAAAAATCACTTAGTAGCAAGTCCAAGTGACCAGTACATTTTTAATGTAAAGCAAGCTGTGTCTATAATATAATAACTATAAAGTAATGAAGCTAACATACACTTATGAGAAGAAATTTATATATTATTTTTAAAGGTAATTCCATAATAGAGATCTAAAAATTATTTCCATCAAGGACAGAATGTTTAGAATAGGAGTATGGTTTTCATTGGTAGCTATTTTGAGCCACCACACTTATTCTGGTGTATAAATTCTAGTGCATTTTTTTAAAAAATCTCATTACTTTGTGTTTAATAAATACAAAAGTGTCTTAAATTATTTTACTATTACTTTCCAAACCTGAGACTTACAATATGAGATTCCTTGCTAATTTTCCACTTTAGATCCTAACATTTTTTTACCCTTCGGTTTTACTTGAGACTTATCTGTAGAGTTTATGGGAGGCCTCCATTTCCAGTCTTGCAAAAAACTTATGGCATTGTACATTGGGATTCTGCAGGGCTCCCACAATTCTTCAAGAACAGATCTAGACTTCTGGTATGGATATCATGACCAAAATTCAAGTTATGTCATCGACACATGGTATGATACACAATTTAACAACTAAACAGAATATGGAAAATTCAGGGCATGAGAGAAGAGACAGAGAAGAACAAACTGAATAACTACCTAAAAAGTTATGAGGGAAAAAAGCAAAATCTCTGTTGGTAAACATTTGTGAGTCAATCCCACAGATATATAAATCATAAATTCTACGCAAATATATCACCTTTAACTTAAAAACATCTTCCCATTTCATAAATGTTGTTTTCATAAAAACTTCAACTTAATGTACCTGTTTTCCATGATATTCATAAACTACTTGAGTTTTTGTGGTGAAATTCTCTTTTAGATTATGTTTTTTATATATAATTATATTATAAATTTATTTTATATATTCACAAGGGTAATCCAAAAAGTTTGTGGAGAAATAGAATTAAAAGATAATACAAATCTTTCCATGAACTTTTTGAAGTAATTTCATATATATAAGCATTATGACAGTTCAGATGTCTTACAAATTTTGTATTTAATGTGAAACCTGTGCAAAATTGAGAACATAAGAAAGCACTTAGATTTCCCCCAAACTTTTTTGGTTTTCCAATGGCAAAAACCTGGGCAATGAAAGATGTTTAATATAATACATAACAATTTTACTCATATGACTCTGAAACTGAAAGGGTCATATTCAGAAAATTAAATTCTAATGCATTTAACAGCATATGATATAAGCATAAAACTTTTCCCCTGTATATCTGGTAAGGCCAAATTAGACAAGATTTTCCTTAAATTAAATTCTCACACAGACCCATTCATTGCATACACAGACTAAAAATTATACTCAACAAAAATGAATTGAGCATTTTATATAAACAAGGTACATGGTACCATAAAGAATGTAAAAATGTGGTAACTAATAATAATAATAATAGAAGATAACATTTACTGTGCTAAACACATTACATGCATTTTCTCAACAGATTAATCCCTATGACATGGGCCCTATCAGTCTCTAAGTTTTAAAGGTCAAGTCACACAAACATAGAGATGTTAGTGGATTTGCCTCAGACTACTCATCTACGGAGCAGTAGAACTGGGATTCGAATCAAAATAATCTGAATCTAGAGCCTACCACTCTTGACCACTAAGCAATACTGCCTAACCAAGTGCATAAGTTTCTTTATCCTTTTAGAATTACAGCCCAGAGGTAAGTTTATAATCACTGGTATTTTAGGTGATTTTCAGTTCCTATAAATAGTAGGAACTTAATTTTTTAAACTACACCTACTCTTAGAGCAACTTATTATGAAATAGTTTGGAGAACAGCAATGAGTATGCTCTTAACAAACATGGTAGCCATTATAATATATTTTCTTTACAAATCAACCTGAGACCATTTTTAAACGATACAAAGATGTATCAGGTGATTTGTTAAAAAAAAAAAAAAACTAAATAAAACAAACAAACAAAAAAAACCACTTTGATAGATCAACAATGAGCTTTTCTAAAATTTATTAGTACTTAGAAGTAGCCATAGGATGTTCATTCTCCTGAAAACTGCATTTTTAGACTGACTGACATTTAGGCTCCTCAAAGTACTCTACTAAAAAGTCTATAATTTATGCCAATTTGCATTCTGATTTTGTAAGTAGTAGTAAAATAGGTGAACAGATAAGCCAATTTTATAGCTTGAGTGAAAGGTGCTGTGAACATCAACACAAAAGGTAATTCCAAAGAGTAAAGTCCTTCTCTCCTATCCACAGGGAGGACCTCTCCTTCAATATCCAGTAACCTCTCCTTAGCCCCTGCGTTCCAGGTTTACTGCTGCGGAGAACTAAACGTTACAGAGATGTGAAAGTTGAATCCTTTCCCCACCCCCCACACACATATGGGCATATTAATAATATATTTGACTTTTCTGATACCTCAGTATGCTGATTCACTGGAGAATTATGAGTGAAGTAAATGTCCCATGAGAGCTGTACTTATTCATTCATTCACACAAGTATAACAACAGGAACAAAGTAGATACAGTATCCAAAGGACATTTCAAATATGAAGTGCTACATCTAATTACACTTTGCCTAAGACTAAGAACTTAGACTCTATTTTTAAAAATCTCATTAGATGAAGTTTACAACCTTCTATAGTTCATCACATGCAAAGTAAGATAAGAGCACAACTTATTAAACGTCAGCTGGAAATAACTTCAGTATCTATTCCCATGGCTTTTAAGTTTTATAGCTTGTAGAATTAGCTTTTTTAAAAGATAAACATTTCAACAGATTTGCTTTCATTCTTAAAAGGAGGAATAATGGAATCATGACAAATACTTAGATTTATTCAGTATCATAACTATAAAAACTTGATTTAAGCACATATTTCCCAACTTGCCACCAAATTTTTTTTTTTCCCACAATTCAGTCAACAAATGTTTTCTGAGCACCTAATACATGCAGACTTGGCAATTGTAGTATGTGCCAAGAAGACGTTGAAGTTTCCTAGGTATGAAGGGGGCAACCAATGGACCAAACTTAAGTATTTGTTATTAACAAGTATATAATTTGTAAGGTTTTTTTTTTTTTTTTTTTTTTTTAGAAAAAAAGAAACAATTGCACAGTAGCATATTTGGGTCTTGATAATCTGCCTTTCAGTTGCAAGAAGCGGTCACTGTCGTCTATCCAAACAATTGGCCTCAGTTTATTCTATCTTTTCTTAATGGTTTCTATTTTATTCCACAATATCCGCGTTTTCTTTCAAAACAATGAATGATAGCGCATCTTTTAAAGGAAACTACTCCTCTTTTCCCCAAACCCAGCCTATACACACGTCTCCTCTTTCGTGGGCACGTGTCCTTCCACAGCTCGGCTGGACACCCTCTCACCTGAAAAAAAGTTTGGAGATGACGCCGGCCTTTTCCAGAGGCGACCTCTGCATGGTCTCTCAGGGTCCCTGCTGCGACAGGCTGGGCTCGCGTTCCTAATGCCAAACGCCCTACTCCTCCCGGTGCCTGCCGCTAACCCCTTTTACTCTGACCTGCTGTGATGTCATTTGCTTCCAACTCCCCCCACCCAGCCCTACCTCACACGCCTCCGCTTCCTTTTGCTCCTTCCCCCGCCTCCACCGTCCAGGTAGAAAGCGAGCGCTGCCTGGTCCGGCCCCACATTTGCACCAGCCGCTTTCTCCACCCCCTGCGCACCTTCCGCCCGCACCCCGACCGCTCCTTCCTTCTGGCCCTCCCTGCCTCGCGCCTCCCTTTCCCGACTCTGACTCCCAGCCTCCGCCCTTCCTCGCACGCGCTCCTTCCAGGTCCGCGTCCCTACCGTCCAGCCCCAGCCGCAGCCAGCAGGTGAGGGACAGTCGCGGTCTCTGTCCAGGTCCAGCCTGCGTCGCTCGACAGAAGCCACTGGCAGGAGCAGAAAAAGGCCCCCAGGGAGCTTCCAGGACCCTCCTACGTGCCACGTTCCGCAGGACCCAGGACCCGCCGCCGCCAGCTTCCCGGAGCCTTCCTTCTTTATCCCGAGATCCTAGCCGGTTACGTCTGCAAGGTGCAGTTTGAAAACGGAACGGCAATAGATCTCTCGTGTATCGAAGTACAGCCTTAGAAGCCGGAAAGTTCCGCGGCGGTGTCTGATGTATTCGCCTTAGCGCTTCCTTTGAGTGTCAGAGGGAAGAATCAAGCTTTGTTAGTTTCAGGCTTAGGTGAGCGCCAGGTGTGGCATAGACACCTTAAGAGATGTAGTTATAAGAAAGAAAAAAGAAAAATCCTACAAGGAGGTGAGAAGAGATATTGCTTTGACCATTATGCGTCCAGGATTTGTTCACTGTCAGTTTTAAAGGCCGGCTTGCGTTTTTAAGGAGGGTTCTTGTGTGTCTTAGCGACAATGAAAGTGGACACTGTGTAAACTAACCAGCCCTCCTATAGATTTCCTAATCTTACGGTCAGCAAAAGATCTTGACTAATACACTGAAAGGAATCTAAACAGTCTTTGAAGCGAAGTTAACATGTTAACTTTGACCTGACTTAGAAAAACGCTGTCTTCAACTCTCTGAGGGCATCTAGGCTTTCCCAGGAGTGGGCGCATTCCTTCCAAGTTTTTCTTGTGAGGATTATGTGCCCCTCTTCATGGTTTTTAAAGAGCCAAGCCTTTAATTCCTGAGCCCTATTGTGTTAAAGCAAGTGCACATTGAATTTGAATTGAAAATTTTAAACGAAAGTAAAAATTTTAGCTTGCTTATTGCCTCCACATCTAAGGCAAGGGTGTTTACTTTTTAATTATCTTATTGTAGACTTGTGGTCAACCAACTACAGTACAAAGAAAACGTGCATTTCATAATTTCAGAAAAACAGAAACATGTATTTACATTAATGAATGTATGAGCAGGCTTTTATAGCTCTGCTGTGCATTTCAATGTCACCCTTCCTCCCCCCATCTTAAAGTGGGTTTTAGAAACATTTAAATTTTATTTTCCTAAATTTTAATAGTAGAGAAAAGAGCAAAGAGATAAACCAAACTGCATAAAGTTACACACCAGGAAAGAACTTCAGCACTTCTAACTCATGATCAGTTGTTTCAAACCTTGTACGTGTTTTTCTCTGTCCAGTATGACAAAAATTGAGGCTATATCTTCACTACTGACTTTTCCCAGGTATATGATAGAATTCACTCCCTTCACTTCCCCACCTCTGTCGTTTGCTTTATAATCACCAGTGTGTTGCATCAAAAAAAATACACACATTTTGATATAAGTTGGTAGTCAGTTCCTCTTTGCTTTCAATGAGCAAGTGACAATAAAGAGATTAAGAATTAAGTTCCAAAGAACATCACAGAGCTGACTAAGGGATGTGGCACAAGGAGACTCCATACATTTGTCAATCTCCTTCCTCTAGAAAGAATAAATAAAACAGTGATTTGTGTTCTTACTATTTGCCAGGCACCATTCATATAAACCTTACAACACCATGTATATAGGTGTTATTGTCCTCAGTTTTCAGCTGAGAAAACAGACAGCAGAAGCTAAGTAACAGTACAGCAAGGCCACATCAGCTTCACGTTATAGGTCGGTTGTGCTTATAAATTTATCTAAGCTAGAAGAGTAAGAACAGCTACATCTCTTCAACAGTGTGCCAGTCATGACCTAGGATGCAAATACATGTTACAGTCTTACAAAGATGTGTTAGAACCAGAAGGAGGTGTCCTGGTACATAATTAGGCCAGATTATTTTTTACTTTTATTGCTTCCAACGTGATGTTTAGTCTGACAATTCTGTTTACAAACACACATGCACCATACTTCTGTTTATATACATACATAACTCTTCTCCACAAATTCCTTGGATGCAAGAATTGTGTCTTCTGTTTTGCTTTTAACTCATATTCAGTAATACAGTATATACAATGAAACAACCTTGGACTTATCGAACTAATAGTTTAAATGTCATACTAACAGGGAAACCTAAAGATTCTCAAGAGATGAATGGTTGACATTAATCTTTCAGCAAGCAAGAGCTTGCTGCTAAGGCAGATATACAGAATAAGGCAGTATCTCCACCCTTCAAAACTCAGAATCTACTGAATAGTCATCAAACTTCTCTGGAGATGGTAGCAGAGTATAATAAAAAGAGTTTGAGCATTAAGGCAATAAAGAGCTAGGTTTTCAATCCTGGCACCATCATTTAGCTATGTGATCTTAGGTAAGTTACTTAACCTTTGTCTCAGTTCCCTTTTCTGAAAATGAGGCTAATAATACCCACCTCATAGGATTGCTGAATAGATTAACTCAGGGTCTCTCTACTTCTGGACTATTGACATATGGGATTGGATAATTCTTTGAAAAGGGGGCCTGGCCTGTTCATTGTAGTACATTTAGGAGCATCTCCAGCTTCTACCCACTGGATTCTAGTGGAACACCCTACCCTCAAATTGTGACAACAAATACTGTTTTTAGAGATTGCCAAATATCCTGGGGGAGTGGTGATGCAAAATTGCCCCCAATTGAGAACCACTGGATGAAATTAATTAAATGTGAGACATACAACAGACATAAAAGGATTAGAACCTAATAAGCACTCAATAGATGTTAGAAATTATCATTACATATCACTGGTTATAAATAAGAAATTAGTGTAGCATTGTAAATGGAATGCTACTGAAAAGTGAATTCCCTAAAGGCTGTCAAAATTCTCAGGAACATTGGACTCTCTCATTCCCTCTGAAGTTATTTGCTTGTGTTTGAACTAAATGAAAAAGGGGTAAATCAGGTACCCTTGCAACTGTAGGATAATTTTGATTTAGAGGCAAAACTATATTTGTATGTGGTGGAAATGTCCTTACTTTCCTTGCATTGAAATGACATTTGAAAGCACTGGGGTTTTTTTGTTTGTTTTTTGTTTTGTTGTTGTTGTTCTAATTTCCAGCTCGTCAACAGTGGTATATTTGTAACAACTGGGTCCAGATGGAATTTGACACACTGATGGGTCTTCTGCAACTTAAAGGTAGTTTCTCATAAAGGAAGTCTTAAAGATTCTCAAGCTATACAAAATGGAAGCTTGTTAATGCTACTAATGAACTAGAACAATTGTAAACATTATTTAGAATACAACTTTGTCATTAATATAAAAGCTAACAAATCTGGGATTTCCTAAGGCTGCTGTTTTTGAAATGTTTTATTATTTATACTGGTTCTCTTCTCACTTTCCCACTGAAGCTTTTTTAGAAACAAGAAAATTCATAACACCAGGTTAAATTTTCACTGGTGATATGCTGAAATCCAGATGCTATCTATAGAATTAAAATAATGGTTTTATAAATTTGAACTCTTAGAGGAAAAGTGGTGATTTTTTTTTTCTCTCAGATGAGTTCTATGTTAATTTATATGCTACATAAAAGTTACATTTAGAACGGGAGTGGAGCACAGTAAATAGAACAGTGAATTATTTACTTATTTATAACTGTTCCCTTCTAAATAAATAATTTGTAATAAAAACAGGTATAACAGAAAATTTGATATACAGAATAAGAGAGACTGCATAGAAAATTTGTATTGCCTCTGGGCACTAACATTAATTCTGAAAGTTCTAGGTATCAAATCCCAGTACATTGTATTCTCTCATAATCAGACATCTGCTAGTAGTCAATATGTATGTTTACCTGGAAAGGAAAACCATCCTTCCTTCACACCATTCATGGAACAGTTTGCTGTTCAAAGACTTACAGAATTATCGCTGAATGATGTCGTAGACAGTATGTTCAGCTATAATTTTTACAAAAACATTTATTTTATGGTCATTTCTTATACCAATTTATGATTTAAAAGACCCCCAAAAACCAAGGTTAGGAATTAAGTCAGTTATTCACAGAAGGCTTTTTTGCCTGGAAAACTAGAATTTGAGAATTCACAGCTTCAGGGTTTCCTTTCTGGTTTGCTGTCACTTACTCTGTATAAACAGAATCTATGAGATCTTGTTTTGGCACACCATGCTGGTCATTTATTGATCTTCAAGTTCAATGTGACTGGTGAAACTATGGTGATTAATCCATATGGCCAAAAGGACAACCAATTCCTGATTCAGTGACTGTTTTATTGGCCTCCATAGCCTGCATCTCTGTGTCTGACAGCCTGACTGGAATCTCTTCATCTTAAAGGCTGGTGAGAAGCAACACTGATAAAATAATGGTAAAACACTTTGGAACTCTTATTCACTTGTGTAAAAATTGAAGACAGGTATGAAAGTTGCTTAAATCCTTTTTGGAACAAAGCATATCATGCTAATGAAATAAAATTATGATTATATCATGTTTTTCCTAAGCAAATTTGACTGTTAAAATTTTAACTAAAAATATAGATATAATTTTTTTAATAAAAGCAAGGGGAAAATGCTCTGTTGTGTATACTTGTTTGTTGCATAAATTACATTATATGCCTCAGGATAAATCTTATAAAGCTGGTATATTTTATTATCATCAACATCCCATTTTACAAATGAAGAAATTGAGGTATGGAAGGTTAAATGACATTCCCAAATTCCAGAAAGAGCTCCTGAATTTGAACCCAGTGGTCTGGCTCTAGAGCTGAGCACTTAATCAGTGTGCTCTGCATGTAACTAAACCACGCAGAACTGTTTTGTTTGTTTAAATGAGAGGAGCTGCCTTTTACAGTTTGTCCTCTTGCTTCTTTGTTTACGTAAAAACAGGGCTTTTTGCAAAGATTTTTCTTCTTTTCTTTTTTCTTCATTTCTTCTGGATTCACTGAGAATTCTTCATTAGAGGAATGGAAAGTAGATAGATATAAAGGAGGAGGGGAAAGAATAAGATCTTTTCTGTGGCTTGACAAAGACTACCTCTTATATTTCTTTTGAGGTTCAATGTGGTTAGAATCTTTTGATGCACTGAGATGACCCCAACTGGAGTACTGAAATAGAGATAGCAAGGGCCCCCAAGGAGAACATACCAAGCCATGAGAGGAAAAGTTTAAAGTCAATGCCTACTAAATGGTGGGAGATGGGTTGTTTTTGACTTTGTAGCTGAAACTGGAAATTTGCCTTTACCCACACATCCTGAGGTGCTGGGTGGGCTTTGGAAACTAAGATAGCAACTTTGGAATCCAAGTATAAGGTAGTACTGGCTGAGAATAAGTCTGAGGGAATGAGATTCATCTTTCTCCAGGAATTGTTGTGACCTGTGCACGGATCTGTTGCTACAGGGTGATAATGGTAGCAGTGGACTGGGATGCATCTGACTCTGTAGAAAGACCTATTCTCATCAATGACATAATATTGTGGTGACAGAGGCTCCTATAGCAGAAAATGGGGTGAGGTGTGTGATAATGGACAGTCTGAACCTCCATATTCTCCCTTTCTCTGGTGTTTGGTAACAGAAATTACCTCTTCAGACCAAGAAAACCCTGGGGTTCTTGAACAATTGAGAGGACTTTAAGAAAAAGTTTCTGGACTTCTTGCTAACTTCAATATTTAAAAGTTAAAAAGCAATGTGACCTTATTTTTATCCCAAGAAGTGTATGAAAGGAGACATACAGGTTGCAGATATATGTTTGCATACATGTTTAAAAACAAACAAACAAACCTGAAAGGATGTATGTCATAATCATCTTATGCCATAAATTTCTAAACTTTTAAAATAATTTTTTAAAACAAAGAAAACAAATGCATCCTGAAAAGTAAAGTAACTTTCTGACTCCATTCCACAAATGTTTTGGAAAGCTAATATTGTTCCAGCTCTGTGCCAGGCAGGGGACACTGTAAATAAGACAGTATTCTGCTAAACTTCCAATGGGCTTCTTATATCTAAATTTTACTAAAACTCTGACAAGGCAAATAATTAGTTGCCTGAGCCCAAAGAAGATTACCAGCATTGATGTCTCTTTCATTTATTTTGGATTCTCCTTGGCTCTGCAAAATCTACCATAACTCTCTAAGTCTTCTTCAGCTTCCTTTTTTTTTTTTTTTTTTTTTTTTTTTTGCACCCACCCCATTCTTCCCTCATTCCTGGTTTTAGGACTGCATTCTTCCCATATTCCTGGTTTTAGGACTAAAAACAAAATATTCTTGGTAGCCACTATAGATAGTCACAAAGATGCCCAGTTGGGAGTAAAGAAAAACACTTCCATCAGGTAACTTGGAATGTTTAACCCATAACCAGAACCCTCCACTAGCAGTTCATTAGGAGTTAATATTCTTATAAGTCCTATAAGTTTTGTGTATCTTGTGCAAGTGCCATAGTTGCACTGCATTTCATTTTATGCAGAGGAGCATTATTTTTTAAAAATGTAAAAATGCAAAATAAAGCACAATTTTTAGAACTCTGTATTGATGTTTGTCCTTCAAAAAAAAAAAAAAGATACTAGAAGCCTAAAAAATGGAAATGTCTCTTTCCTCTGTTTCTCTGTGAGGACTCTGCAAACTCCCCACTCATCGCAGAGGTCAAGCTAAGGCATGTGAGGAGGACCAGTCCCTGTCAATGCAGAGCAGGAACTCTACTCCTTGTGCCCCTCATGCCAGGCGACCTGCATACCCTCAATGCTAATGGGGAACAGAAACCTTGAACCTTTCTACACCTGCCTCATGGTTGACATTGTGGGAACCCAGCGACTGACAGCTCTTGGGAGGAGAGCCAGGCCATGGTGGAACACCCAGTCCCAGGCTGCAGCTTCATCACCAGCCACTGAGCTGGCCACCAGCTGCAATTGAGTTGCTGCTTTTCAATACCCTGTTTGGTCATGATTCTAATTGTCTTCAGGAATTCTTTTGGGTTTTTTTTTTTGTGTGTGTGGCAGCTGACTGGTATGGGGATCCAAACCCATGTCCTTGGTGTTACAAGGCTGAACTCTAACCAACTGAGCTAACTGCCAGCCCAGAATTCTTTTTGTTAATTACTTATTAAATAACAAAGCATATAAAAAATCAAGGTCAAGAGTTTGGACCCCCATACAGGCTAGTCAATGAAATAGATAAATAAAAAACAAAGCAAATGACTCTTGGAAATTATTTGTCTGGTCTAAAATGGTTGGGGGAATATTGAATATTCAAACAGTCTATTTGAATACTACATTCTACTTTGCTTGCTTTCGAGAAAGTGAAGATGAAAAAAAATGATACAAAATAAATTTAGATTTAAACATCAGAGGAAAGAGGTAGACCTCTACACAACTGCCTAAATGTGTTTTTCAAACAAACCCAAACAAATTTGAGGCTTGTAACAATTTGGATAATTCAAGAAAAATGGACTATTTTCTATAATGTTTCTATATTCACTCATGATTAAATTTAAAAATACACTTTCCTTTAGCTGTGTAAGTAAGCAAACCTTAGATTATCTCATTTTAAAACATACTATCAGACAGCACAGCATATAGGGGTTTAGAACTCTTCCACAGAATGAGAGCTGAGGTTTCCGCACTTGTAAAATGGGAAACAAGAGCTTCCATTACATAGGGTCATAGTGATAATTGAGTTGATATAAATGTAAAACATTAAGCACAGTAACGAACATAGGGTAAGCACTCAGTTAATTGTGTGTTTCAGAATTTACACCCTCACATTAATAATTCACTGAATGCTGAACTGACTCATGACCATGACTTTTTTACATGAAAAAATAAAATGTGTATAATTCTTTATGGTTTTTTAAATGCATACCTTCTCGACCAGTTTTATTTTTTGTTTATTTACTTCCTTCAAAAATAAGAGAAAATAAAACTCAATAATAAAAAACAAACAACCTAATTAAAAAAATAAGCAAAACATCTGAACAAACACCATGTCAAATAAGATATACAGATGCAAATAAGCATATGAAAAAACTCTCATCATCACTTGTCACTGGGGAATTGCAAATTAAAGCAACAATAAGATACCATTACTCATCCTTTAGAATGGCTAAAGTACAAAAAAAATGACAACGCCAATTATTGGCAAGAGTTGCTGGTGGGAACGCAAAATGGTATAGCCACTTTGAAACATAGTTTGGCAGTTTCTTGCAAAGCTGAAACAATCATGCTCCTAGGTATTTACCCAACTGATCTGAAAACATATGTCTACACAAAAATCTGCATGTAAATGTTTACAATAGCTTTATTCATAATTGGCAAAAGCTGTAAGCAAACAAGATATACATCAATCAGTGAATGGATAAACAATTACATCTGTAGGATGGAATACTACTCACCAATAGAAAGGAATGAATTATCAAGCCATGAAAAGACATGGATGAATCTTACATGCATATTGCTAATGAAAGAATCCAGTGCAAAAAGTCTACATACTGCATGATCTCAATTATATGCATTCTGGAAAAGGCACTACTATGTAGAGATAGTAAACTGATCAGTGATTGCCAGGAATTTGGAGTCAGAGGAGAAGTATCGAATAGGTGAAGCACAAGGGATATAGGCATATTTTTAGGGCAGTGAAACTTTCTTTGATATTTTAACAGTGGATACATGATGCTATGCATTTGTCAAAATCCATAAAACTTTATAGTACAAAGAATGAACCTTAATGTACATGAATTTATTTTTTAATTTAGAAAAATAAAATAAAAAATCATCTAGGTTAAAGAGGGGAGAACCACACAATGGAATGCAGAATGCAAAAAAAGAACCTAACGGTGTTACAAATTTATAAAACAACCTCACTGAATGGCATGTGGGGGAAAGGTTCTGGGCCAAGTAATTTTGGAAATGAGTAAAGTCTGTAAGACTAAAGGTAAAAGAACCTACATAAGCACTATTCTACTTGACCCCAGTTGTATGCTACCGGAGTACATGCAGTAATTCTGAAACCACTATACATGTATAATGGAAATTTAAAAATTAAGTAAGTACATAGTGGATGGTGGAAGCCAGGTTTCTCACTGTTGGAATGGCAAGTTACATATAAGCAAGGGGAAGAGGGTAGAATGATTCACATAGTAATGAATTATAATTGGAGACATCATCTGAATTCGTGGACAGCTTACTAAAGCTCTGTCAGCTTAGAGGACCTAATATCAATGACATCTCAATAGCAACCAGCACACTGTAGAGCCTAGACCTTAGTTTCTACTATCATTTTTCAATAAAGGGAACCATGACTCTTTTTAGTACTGGGGCAGAAAATATGCAAGCTGAGCCCAGAGCATCTTGCATTGCCAGAAAGTAAGGAAGTGTTAAAAACAAACAAGACACAGTGATGGGAGTATCTCAAAGGAACACAAACACCAGGGAAAGAAACTCCCAATAGCCAAAGGTGGAACAATTTAAGAAACAAAATAAAGTAGCATTGAATTATAAACCAAAGTATACAACAAATATCCATGAGTTCATACTGACATAAATAAATAATTCAATAAATAAATGGTAGAGAACAGACAAATTTCCTGCACAGAAGAATTCCAAATAATTTATGTAGATAATTATTCACTCTCGAGGAGGTGGAACTCAACTCATTACTTGAGGGTGGGCTGTGTACGGTAACTTCCTTCCAAAGAGAACAGTACTGGGGGTCGAGTCAGGGGAAGTAACTTTACAGCAGAGAAATCCAACAAATGCTACCTCATCCAGGTCACCAAGGTCAACATCGGTTGTGACCGTCATGGTGATAATATATATCCTTTATATGATGTGATGAAAATGGCACGTTACCTCTGTGATCATCTTCCCCAAAATCCATAATCCCAGACTAAGCACAAGAAAAACATCAGATAAATCCCAATTGAGGGTTATTCCACAAAATATCTGAACAGTACTGGTTGAAACTGTCAAGGTCATCAAAAATCAGAAAAGTCTGAGAAGCTGTTACAGCCAACAGGAGTCTAAGGAGAAGTGGGAGAACTAAATATAATGTGGTATCCTGGGTGAGATTTTGGAACAGAAAAAGGTCATTAGGTAAAAACTAAGAAAATATGAATAACGTATGGACTTTAAGACTAATGTATCAATATTGGTTCATTTATTGTGACAAATGTAGCATACTAATGTAAGATGTTAATGATATGGGAAACTGGGTGTGGAGCATACAGGAACTCTCTGTAGTATCTTCACAATTTTTCTGTAAGTCTAAAACTATTCTAAAATAAAATGTTTACTTAAAAAATAAGGGAATTTTTTTACTGATCTTTGGCACATTTTCTATGCAATAACAAATTATTAATTTAAACCTTGAATAATCTTTAATAGTTAATAATAATATCTCAAGTCCAGTGAGATCCTGATATCTCATTTTTTAACATTTTCACAATTAATAGTCTTCACATTTATTTTCTCAAGCAATTATTTTTCTTGCAAGGGTGACCATAGGATCTAGGGCTTAGACCATGAACTGTGTAAGTCTGGAAAACTGGCTTCAAATTGGGTTACCCTGTCACTTTAAAAAAGCTTTCTACCCCCAGTGGGAAATAAATTATGTAAAAAAAAACAGTCAATGACTATTTCTTAAAAATAAAACTCAAAAAACTGCTACATTTCTTGATCCCAAGAAAGCTCACAGGAAAAATAACATCTTCATGTTCTCTTGTCAACCCAGGACAATCAAACTGTTCTGAAATTATTCAAAAATCTGTAGCCATTATTCCAAGAATATGGAATTCATTAACCATGTCAAAGTTTAATGTACTATTAGCTACTCGCTAGGAGATTTCTATGACTTAAAAATAAAACTGAGTTGCTACAGAGTGGTGACAATTTCTACTCCCATTTTATTGTGAAACATTTGGATTCTAGAAAAATATTGGATTAAAAGAGATTCAACTTTAATGTTCTACTGTTTACTCTCTTTAGGAATATATTTTACTTAAATAATTATATTGTATCTGTGTGATTCTCTTTCCCTATCTCTATTCATTCTATTCTCTCTTCTATATTTACCATTACTGACTTTCAGCTTTAAATATTTAAGCAGTATTGTTATGAACTAACAAAGAGATGTCATATTTCACTCAAAAAAAAAAAAAAAGGCATTTGGAAGTAGTTGAAATTATCCAGTAATAGTTTTTATGCTCCTATAAAAATTTTTAGTAAAATATATTTTGAAAATAAAATATTTTTCTTTGTGAAACAACTTATATTTTAAGTCACTGAAGCATAAAACATGCATCTTCTTGTCTTATTTTGCAATCTGAAACAAACCCACTGTATCCAGGATAAACAAAATGCAGGAAATTAACTTCTATTAAATCTCCGATATACTAAATGCTTTATGTGCTTCCCCCCATTTAATTCTCAATATCCTTATGAGATAATTATTATTATACCATTTTATTCTTGAGGAAAATAAAATTGAAAAAAATCTTTAACGTACTTATCTATAGTCTCACATCTACTACAAGTCGTCCTAGATTAGGTCTGACCAATCCCAAGACCACTCTTTTTCACTATATTGGTAGGTAAAATGTCATTCAGAGAACTAAAATCATTGAGAAAAATCATAGAAAATTGTAAAATTAATTTCCTTCCAATTTTTAGCAAGAGATTTTAAACTGAGAGAGAAAAAATGTTTAAAGTTTTTTGCTGTGTAACACCTGTGGAATAATTGGAACTGGAAAATTCAACTGACTTAACATCACACAGATTTTTGGCATTTAGCAAAGTAAGCTGTATGGCTGGTTCCCTTGAGTCCCAAGAGGTTCATGATACAGAGCAACAGGTAAGGAAGGAGGGAATTAAGGAGCAATACCTTTAATTCTTCTTACCCTTCCTACACTCAAGTCAATGGACACCTCTCATTCAAAAGTTCAAGCCAGTGCTCAAACCGTTGTTCAGCTCCTGTGGTTCACAGAAAGAGTGAAGGTTAAATTATGGGTGTGGACACTAATGGGAGTTTTGTTGGGCTTCAGTATGAAATTCCATGTGGTTATCTGTAAATAAGGACACATACTGGATTTTGTTTTGTAACACTGCACAGAAATATGAAACTTTATAGTCTTTTAAAATAAGACAAGTTTTAAAATCCGATTGGCACCTTTGACATGATTGGGACTATGCTGCATGTTTCACAATTATATAATTAACAGGATTTTGTCCACAAATAAATGAGTATTTTCAGATGCCTGTTGATTATATCTATGTTTGCTCAACTGAAAAGTACTGGTCAGTATGAGAATTATCCTTTCAGGCATATTTTTGTTTGTGCAACCTGTCCTCTTGACATTTGTCCTTAAGGTTTATAAAACCATCTTCACTTTTTTCCCATAAAATCCTACATTGATAACATTTGCATATTGATACTTAGTTTTCTCAAGTTTAAGTTATATTGTGATTTATATAAAATGTTTTATATGCTTTACTTAAAAATAAATTGTAGTTTAACAAACTGCTCTTTACTTTTGATAAATTTAAAAATTAAAAAATGACAATAAGAGAGAGCTGTGGGTCATTCATATTACAATTTACTTCCAGTCACAGAAAAATCTTTAGTGCTATTATAGGTTTTTAAATATCTTTAATGCAATAAATTTTAAATAAATGTATATAAATTAATAGATTTAAAATAAATGAACCAATAAACTAGACACATAACATTATCTTTCAAGTTTTCATATATTTAATTGTATATCTCTGAGTGATCCTTTTGGAGGACATTTCAGAATCACCTGTATTTAGTGTAAGTTAACTACTGTAATTCAAAATTCACCACTCCTTGGCTTCTGATTCCTCTCTACCCTTGCTACTTGAACCACCAGTGCTCCCTGAAAAAACATCAAATCTGTCAGGTGTATGAGAGTAGGAAAAAAGGTTGATACCTAAATGTTTAAATAACAAAATTTTCTTTCTTAATGCTGAATTATAACAAGTAACTAGGTCCTCTTTATTTCTTCTTCTCCTTTCCATTATAAAATAATTTTACAGGAAAGGTTGGATTCATATTAATTTAGCAAATTTTGTCTTGAAACACATCATTCCACTAATTAGTTAAAAAGAATGTGATTACATCAGAAAAAAAAACCCTAAATACATAAATTTCAAAAAGTAAACAATAGTAATTCTAATGATGAGTCCTTGCTTCCAGGTGCACCTGATTTCTATGTCTTATCCTAGAAGGAGAATCACAGAGATATATAATTCATGTATTTATGTTTCTCAGAGTAGGGACACCACTCACTAGGCAAATTTAAGCCATATTGTCCAATAGTAAAGAATGATTGAGTATTGATATCAGTTTTAACCCTTATGGTAATTATTTCTAAATATTTTGAAGTGAATGAATTCTTCATTATTTTTCATCCTTAGGCTAGTTTCAAGAAATAAATTATGCTGATTCTCATGAAGGATTCATCTTTGTTACTAACTCAGGAGAGTCACAGAGGACATGATTCGCATCCTCATGTGCCTCATAGTGTAGGAAAATATAGTTAGGTGGTAAAAATGAGTACTTTTTTCCTCCCCAATATGTTTCTCTGACGTGCTAAGTGTAAAACGACTAACAGTTAAATTTAGACATTAAATTAGGCATTAATATTAATTTTGAGTCTTATTTCTGAATAATATTATGATCGAATTAAAAAATAAGAAGTAATGCAAGATATTTATATACAGCATCTTTCTGGTGTGTAATTAACTCACTTCAGCAAACATTTATCAGGTGTCTACCATGTGTGAGGGCACCCTCACACAGACTGTGGAGGATCCTTTGGCCTAGGTCTCAGATTACGGGCAGTTCCAGAGATAAAATGAGAAGACAGTCACCAGAGTACATCACCTACAGGGAACAGTGAATTAAAATTTTGAGAAATCCAATGATTATCTTACAAACAGCCGCATTACACTGGGGATCGTTGTAGACATGTATGTGTTTTCATCACATCTATTTGTTTAATGTAATATTTAAAATATACCACAATTTTGTAACCCTGGCATTTTCTCAGTTTTCAACATACTAAGGGCCTGGAAAAATGCATACAGCTCTGGCCTCTCTGAATGGCTCTGCCATCTGCAGGGCACCATGTTAATCTTTGGGGACAAGAACAGACAGTCCCTGTTCTCAAGGAGCTTACAGGTCAGCATAGGAAAGAAACAAATATATAAATACCTGTAACACATGACAGAATAAGATGAGGGCCATTCTAGAGATGCAAATAGCCATGAGACTCAATGGTGTCAAACATCATTTCTAGTTAAGAATTAGAAAGTCTTCCAAAGGAGATATCATTAAAGATAGATCTTGAAAGACAAGGACCATTGATAGGCAGAGATGAGTAAGAAACACATGGGCAGAGAGAGGCATACTTTAGGAGCAGGACTATTGCTTGGTATGTGAAAAGTAGAGGAGGAAGTGAATGTGGAAAATCAAATTGGGACCAAGTTGTTCAGAGCCATAATGGCAGGATAAGGAGTCCACACCTACTATTGTTGGCATAAGGAAGTCAGAAAGTGGTTTTGAGGAAGGCAGTAACATTATTGTATTGCATTTTAGAAATATAAAACTGGAATGAACATACACGGTGGCCTGTGGAGCAGGAAGAGGTTGTATGGAAAATAAGTGAAGAGGCTGTCTCAGCAGCTCTAGGCCTGAAGCTTCATCACTCTTTGCCTAACCAGAAGAATTTCCTTTTTGCTCAATCATGAAGATCCCTTCCTTGTGTTCTCCCCACACCTATGTC